GAACCCACCACCTTAGGTGTATGTGGCTGGCGCCTTAGCCCTTTGAGCCACAGGTGCTGAGCCTCTTTTTTTTTTTTTTGACACAGAATCACACTCTGTCACCCTGGGTAGAGTGCAGTAGCATCGTCATAGCTCACAGCAACCTAAGACGCCTAGCCTCAGCCTCCCAAGTATCTGGGACTATAGGTGCCCACCATGATGCCTGGCTAATTTTTCTACATTTAGTAGAGATGGGGTCTCCCTCTTGTTCAGGCTGATCTTGGATTCCTGAGCTCAAGGAATCCTCCCGTCTCAGCCTCCCAGAGTGGTGTAATTATAGACATGAGCCACTGTGCCTGGCTTTTTTTTATGTTTTATGGAGATAGGGTCTCATTGTTGCCCAGGCTGGTGTCAAACTCCTGGTATCAGATGATTTCTCCTGCCTGGGCCTCCAAAAGTAGTAGGATTATAGGCCTGAGCCACTGTGCCTGCCTTCACCACCTATTTTAAATCTTAGTGTTTGTGATTAAGTTATTTTATACTTATTCATTGCTGGATGAATTAGATGGACCTTACGAGCTTATGCTCTAATTTCCAAAAGGATTTCCTTATCTGGAAGTTCAACATTCTGGTAAAATCAAATGCATCTTTAAAAATGTGAGTATTGGCTCGACGCCTGTGGCTCAAATGGCTAAGGCGCCAGCCACATACACCTAAGGTGGCAGGTTGGAATCCAGCCTGGGCCTGCCAAACAACAATGATGGCTGCAACCAAAAAATAGCCAGGCGTTGTGGCGGGCGCCTGTAGTCCCAGCTACTTGGAAGGTGGAGGCAGGAGACTAGCTTGAGCTCAGGAGTTGAAGGTTGCTGTGAGCTGTGATGCCATGGCACTCTACCCGGGGGACAGCTTGAGGCTCTGTCTCAAAAAAAAAAAGTGACTCTTACAGGTGGCACCTGTGGTTCAAGGAGTAGGGCGCCGGCCCCACATACCAGAGGTGGTGGGTTCAAGCCTGGCCACAGCCAAAACTGCAAAAAAAAAATGGGTCTTACCTTTTCTGTATTTAGAAATAGCAGAGAATATTGAAGAACTTTTAACATCTTATTTCTCACTGATTAGGATAAATCACTCTAAATCTTTTTCTTCCCAACCCCTCTCTTATGGTATGAAGTAATAACTGATTTTTGTTGTTAGTTTCTCTCTCTCTCTCTTTTTTTTTTTTTTTTTGGAAGAGTCTCACTCTGTTGCCTGGGGTAGAGTGCCTTAGCATCAGCTTAGCCCACAGCAACCTCAGACCTTGGGTTTAAGCGATTCTCCTGCCTCAGCCTCCTGA